CTAGCTCAAATCCTGCGACATATCAATTGCTAGTAGCCCAGTCTAGTTTAACCTTTCCCAATCAAGAATCATCTCCTGAATCAGGCATACTGGCAACACTGGTTCATTTGATAATGTAAGTTTTTAAACTGGTATTTTAGATTTATATAGCCTCGGCAGACCTCTCAACTCTCACGCATTCGGCGTGAGTCTCACGCAATTCGCTTCACTCTCACGCTCTCACGCCACGTTTAGTAAATCTCACGCATATAGCAGTTTCATAGTATTTTTTCAATAATATAATATTGTATTCTTAAATGCACATTATTAATCATTATACGGATCGCGAATCGAATATATAATCGCGTGTTATTGTTCCTCATTGTTCTTCCTGCATATACGGCCCGACATTTTCGCTTTTGCCCGCAATTAAATGCAATTTGGATACAAAATAGTACGCATATGAAGAGGGTCCTGAAGGGGTAAAATGGGAACTGGAATTTGCTTATTTTTGGGTGGGAAAATGGGATTTCATGCACTGGGACTGGGATTCATCAGCAAAAAAAACAATAGAAAATGGGAATGGGATTAAGATTTGAGCAGGACAGCCACTGAGATGATGGGATTTGTGCTCTGGGACAATGGGATTTAGTCAAAATTTGGGCTGGGAAATGGGAATACGAACCCCCTCTATGTAAATACGGCGGACAAAAGGCAGAATCAGTAGGGGTAGAATTCTATATGTAAATTATCAAAGGCAGTTATTGTAACTAAAGTGCCTTGTCTTAAAGGACGTTATGAAGCAATCACGTATTTCATTAAAAAACACCAACTCTCATAATGTACGAAATGCGATTTCAGACCCCCGGACTTTTACAAAGGTGTCATCCACATCCCCAATCTCACTCTTAACTTCTCTGCAAAGTTGAGAGGTCTGCCTCGGTCAAATGAGGATGAAAGTCATGCATGAATTGCTTATAAATACACAAAGGACATTTCAAGTTCCACATGAACAAAATATTATTAAAGCTTTGATGAGTGTTCCAACTATGTTTCAACTTAATTAAAATACTCTCAT